GAGAACAATCATGAGAGAAGGAAGGGCTGCTTATGCACAGAGAGACAGCTCAGGGGGCAGGAGATTATTAAGGGATGAACACTGGGAAGAGGTAGCTATGGGGAGGAAGTGGGAGGGGAGCTGTTGCATTGTGGTAAACTGTGGTCAATGACGTGAGACAAAGTATATGTAAACTGCTGTACGGAAAGTAAATTTGCTCTGCAAATCTTCACCCAAATCACAATTAAAAAAAAAAAAAAGAAAAGAAAGCTACTCTTACGTCTTTCTCCATAGGCAGGCACACCTACTGTGATACCTCTAGAGATGGCAGTCCTTAACTATTCTAAAGTGTGGAATGCATTCACAGGCTCACAGTCCTTCTCCCAAGGTATCATTCCTTTTACTTTGAATTGTTCAGGGTCACATAATTTTCTGTTTGTTTTAATATACATTTCCTTCAAAATGAATATAGCCTTGTTCATCAAGGGGCTTTACAAAAAAATGCAAAAAGACAACCTTCAGAATTGGATAAATTTTTCAGGAACCATATATCCAATAAGGGTCGATATAAAGAAATATAGATAGATAGATAAAAACACACACACACACACACATATATATGTATGTATGTGTGTGTATATATATGTACATATATATGTACACACACACACACACATAAACTACTACAACTCCTTAAAAACCAAACCAAACTTACTGCCATTGAGTCAGATGAGACTCACAGTGACCCCTCCTTGGGTTTCCAAGGCGGTATCATTACAGGGAGCTCTGGTAGCATAGTGGCTAAGACACTTGCCTGCTAACCAGACAGCTGGCGGTTCAAACCCACCAGCCACTCCTCGGAAGGAAGGTTGGGCAATCCTACTTCCGTAGTGATACTGGCTCGGAAACCCAAGGAGGGGTCGCTATGAGTCGGGGCCGACTCGACGGCACATAACAACAACAACATCATTACAGAAGTGTATTGTCTAACCCTCCTTCCGAGGAGCAGCTGGTGGGTTTGAACCGCCAGCCTTCTGGTTAGCAGTCAAATGCCTTAGGCACTACATCACCAGAGCTCCTACTACAACTCCCTAGGGGGTAGTGAATTTATGTTAATAGAAGAGGAACAACTCAGCAAAGGAGGGTGAGAATAGCTGTAAACTCAATGAATGGAATCAATGTCACTAAATTGTTCATGTGAAAACTGTTGAATTGGTGTATGATTTCCTTTGTATATTCTCATAACAACAATAACAAAATAAATTTTTAAAAAAACAAAACTTTCCACATAACAAAGGACAAAGAGCCCAATTAAAAAATGGGCAAGGATTCAAAAAGACATTTCACCAAAGAGGATATTCAAATGGACAACATGCACATGAAAAGATAGGCAACATCATTAGAATCACAGATGTAATTACAACTTATGATGAAATACCACTTCGCCCCTCTTAGAATGGCAATGATCAAAAAAAAAGAGAAAACAACAGGTGTGGTTGCAAGATTGTGGAGGACAGGATCCTTCATCCACTGCTGGTGGGAATGTAAAATAGCACCAAACCTGTTGCCGTCAAGTCTTTTCCAATTTACAGTGACCCTATAGCACAGAGAAGGAAGCCCATAAGGTTTCCAAGGATGTAATCTTTACTAGGAGGCTGTTGATCAAAACAAGGGGATACTGCATGGTTTAAAATCAGGAAGAGTGTATGCCAGTGTATCCTTTCACCATATTTATTCAATCTGTATGCTGGGCAAATAATCTGAGAAGCTGGACTATATGAAGAAGAACCCAGCATAAGGAGTAGAGGAAGACTCATTAACAACCTGTGATACGCAGACGACACTAATTTGCTCACTGAAAGTGAGCATAACTTGAAGCACCTACTGATGAAGATTAAAGAATACAGTTTGCAGTATGGCTGACACCTCAACATAAAACAAAATCCTCACAACTGGACCAATGGGCAGCATCACGGTAAATGGAGAAAAGATTGAAATTGTCAAGGACTTCATATTACTAGGATCCACAATCAACAACAATGGAAGTAGGAGTCAGGAAATCAGACGTCTTATTACACTAAACAAATCTGCTGTAAAAGATCTCTTTAAAGTCCTGAAGGCAAAGGTTCACCTTTGAAGACTAAGGTGCGCCTAATCCAAGCCTTGGTACTTTCAATAGCCTAATGTGCATGTGAAAGCTACACAATGAATCAGGAAAACTGAAGAAGAGTTGATGCTTTTGAGTTGGGGTGTTGATGAAGAATACTTAAAGTACCATGGACTCTCAGAAGAACAAACAAATCTGTCCTGGAAGAACTGCAGCTAGAATGCTGTTTAGAAGTGAGAATAGCCAGACTTCGTCTCACCTCCTTTGATCATGTTGTCTGAAGGGACCAGTCCCTGGAGAAGGATATCATGCTTGATAGAGGGTCAGGAAAAAAGGGGAAGATTCTCAACGAGATAGACTGACACAGTGGCTGCAATGATGGACTCAGGTATAGCAAGGATTGTGAGGCTAGCACACAACCAGTCAGTGTTTTGTTCTGTTGTACGCAGGGTCACTATGAGTTGCAGCCGACTCAATAGTAGCTAACCATGACAACAACAATCTTTATGAAGTAGATCATCAGATCTTTTCCCCCACAGAGAGACTGGTAGGTTTGAACTGCCAACCTTTCAGTTAGCAGCTAAGCTCTTAACCACTACACCACCAGGCCTCCTTGTAAAATAGTTCAGCCATTGTAAAAAGCAGTCTACTGGTTCCTCAGAAAGTTGAACACAGAACAACCATATGATCCAGTAATCCCAGTCCTTGTGTATACCCAGAAGTGAAGGCTGAATCACACACAGAAACCTATTTACCATTTTTCACTGTAGCATTTTTCACATTAGCTAGAAGGTGGAAACTACTCAAGTGTCCATCAACAGATAAATGGAAAAATAAAATGTGGTATATACATATGATGGAATACTACTCAGCCATAAAAAGAAATTAAGTCTTGATGCATACCACTACATGGATGAACTTTGAAAAGTCGGCTGCAAAAGGACAAATATTACATGATCTCAATTATATGAAAGAAGCAAATAAATAGAAACCAAAGATTATTAGTGGTTACCAGACGTGGGAAGGAGGGAAAAGGAAAAGTTTTGACAGAGGGGGCACTGAGTTTATGTTAATGGTGCTGCAAGGCCTTGGAAAAGGAAAGCAAGAATGTACACAACTTGAAAATGCAGAAATTGTTGTGATGGTGTATGTTTTGTTACATACATTTTCACCACAATAAAATAAAATTCTTTAAATTAAAAAAAAAGGAATACAGGGAAAACATTTGAATCTTCTGAATCAGCATTACATTTATCTAGCTCTTCTCCAGGGCTCCAGTCAGGTGCCCTAAACTTACTCATGTCAAGCCAAAAGGAACACTGAGATGTGAAAAACACTTTCTGTTTAAAATTTTCCCTGGATATTAGAAAAACACGAATGTTAGCTAGATAAAATAGATTAGGTATGATTCACTAGATAGGAGGCAACAGATACTGAAGTTGATCCACAATCAACGTCCATCGACGCAGCAGACAAGAAATCAAGCTACGTATTGCATTGGGCAAATCTATTGTAACAGGGTTCTTTAAAAAGTGTTAAAAAGCAAAAATGTCACCTTGACGACTAAGTGTGCCAGACAAGCCATGGTATTTTCAATTACCTCATGTCCATGCAAAAGCTGCACAATGAATAAGACTGAAGAATTATTGATGTCTTTGAATTATGGTGTTGGAGAACACTGAATATACCATAGACTCTGTCTTGGAAGAAGGAGAGCCAGAATGCTCCTTAGAAGTGAGGATGGCAAAACTTCATCTTCTATACTTGGGACATGTTATCAGGAGGGACCAGGTGCTGGAGAAGGATGTCATGCTTGGTAAAGTAGCAGGTCAGTGCAAAAGGGGAAGAGCCTCAAGAAATGTAATGACACAGTTGCTACAACAATGGGCTCAAACATAGTAATGATTGTGAGGATGGTGCAGGCAGTGTTTTGTTCTGTTATACACGGGGTCACCATGAGTTGGAACCAACTTGACAGCCCCTAATGACAAAAACAACAGGTGTAGTAGTAAATTGAACAATACTCTCCCCTCCCCGATTTCAGGTCCTAATTCCTAGACCATATAAATGTTACCTTACAGGAAAAAGTGTCTCTGCAGATGTCATTAAAGACCTTAACATGAGAAGAGTATCTTGAATTATATAAACTCAAACAAAACCCACTGCCACTGAGTTCAATTCATAGTGACCATACAGGACAGAGTAGAACTGTCCCATAAGGTTTTCAAGGCTATAAATCTTTATGGAAGCAGACTGCAACATCTTTCTCCCACGGAGCAGGTGGTGAGTTCAAACCACGGACCTTTTGGTTAGCAGCCAAGAGCTTAACCACTGTACCACTAGAGCTCCCTTTGGATTATTCAGTGGGCCCTAAACTCAATCACAAATGTCTTTATAAGAGAAAGGCAGAGAGATACTTGATATATACAGAGGAGATGATGATATGATTATGGAGGCAGATGGTGGAGTGATGTGGCTAGCCACAAGCCAAGAAATGCTGGAAGCCACCAGAAGCTGGAAGAGGCAAGGAATGGATTCTCCTCTAGAGCCTCCAGAGGGAGTGTGGCCTTGCTGACAACTTGACTCTGGCCCACTGATACTGATTTTAGACTTGTGGCCTCCAGGGCTGTGAAAAAATAAACTACTATTGTTTAAGGCTTCTAATTTATGGTAGTTTGTTATAGCAGCTTTAGAAAACTAATACCATGGGTTATGTTATATAGAGTCAATTTGACAGATAAAAGAATATTTTTAAATTATAGTTCCTTCCATCAGAACAATCCATTGTTTTTTAACTTTCAAATCAAATGTGAGCACATTATCTTAGAATGTGGTCATATTATCCTACCCATTAAATATAAGTTCTCAGGAGTGGTCACAGGTATATTAACAAGTTTAACATCATCTTCATCTGCTTTGTCCCAGGAATTAGAGTTGCCACAAGCACAGCTATGACATGAGTTGACACTCTGGACCTAAAATTTAAATCAACAAAAGTTACTTCAAAATCTCTCTGTGATAAAATTTTGTAATTTTTTTATATTTACAAATTATTTATAGAAATGGTATTCCTGATAAAAAACAATCCATGTAATTTTCATCTGAAGAATTAATTCTGATTAATTCTGATTCAATCAAACACAGGAGTCCTATGAACCCAAATGTATTGAGCTTGAAAGTATGTAAGGAAAACATTCTGAACACAAATCAATTATTTCCATCAAAACTCAAGCAATTATTTTTACATTACTTACTATTTTATTTTTACTTATAAATTTTATCCACGCTTACTTTGATTTGGGGAGCTCTGATAGCATAGTGTCTAAGGCACCAGACTGCTAACCAGAGGGGCTGGCGGTTCAAACCCACCAGCAACTCCTCGGAAGAAGATGGGGCAATCTACATACTAAGGCACTGGACTGCGAACCAGAGGCCTGACAGTTCAAACTTACCAGCGACTCCTCAGAAGGAAGATGGGGCAATCTACTTCTGTAGTGATACTGCCTCGGAAACCCAAGGAAGGGTCACTATGAGTTGGGTCCGACTCGACGGCACATAACAACAATAACAACTTTGATTTGAGCTAATTTTCCTTTCAGAATTCTTTATAATGCTGACTCTCTGGTAAAGGATAACTGAAATGGAAAAGCCTCTATGACATTTGTACACATTCTTCCCTAGCAGGGTGCACAAGCCAATCGTTTTTATCATCTCTTTGCAGCTGTCTCCCAAATCTCTACCTCTAGTTTCGTCCTTTTTAGAGAAATCTAGGCTTAGGTTTTCATCTGCCTATTAGGCAACAGTAGCTATGAAAAATAGCACCTATGGTAATTAATTTTAAATTGTTGAATGATCTCTCACAACTGGTGATAGAAACTGTGATGCCTAATAGAAACTGTTCACTGGCGCTCCCCCCACGATGCAGCACCCAGGGTACAAGCCACACCTGCCATACTCTAGATGCGCTTCACCTAAAAGGAGACCTCACTTGGCTCCTCTGTTGGCATCTCATACAGACTACAGGCAATCCCCAATTTGTGAACAGCATTCATTCCTAAGTGTGCCTTTAAGTTGAATTTATAAGTAAGTCTGAACTTAGCCTTACTTTAGTGCAAGAAAAGGCTCCAAGCCATTTCAATGATTTAAAATCTGCATGCACAGCAAGTGATGGTGATTGTGATGAAGAATTTGTTGCAAGTAGGGCTAGTTCAAGTACGGCTTGGTTCAATCCATTTCAAAGTGAGGGCACATTTACATAACATGAAAGGGCAAGCAGGTTTTCCAAAAATCTGATGTTAGAAACTTGGGGTCTACCTGCATATCAAAAAAAAAGACATCAGAATGAACCCCTGAAATTATTGCCCTAGACCTTTAAACCTTAAACCAAAAATATCCCCTGAAGTCTTAAAACCAAACAATAGTTTAGCTTAACTGTTGTTGTTGCTATATGCTGTTGAGTCAGACCCGACTCATAGCGACCTCCTCCTTGGGTTGCTGAGGCAGTATCACTACCTGCCTTGAGCAGTATGCTCTTTTCAGAACAATCTATATGGGATCAAACTGATAACAGCAACTTGAAAGATTAGAAAGGAAACTGAGGGCAATGAGCTCATGTTATCGGAACACAGAAAAGTACGTAAGAATGGTTGCATAACTAGAAGAATGAAATCAATGTCACTGAACTGTACATACAGAAAGTACGGAATTGGTCTATGTTTTGCTGTGTATATTCTCAACAACAAGAATAGAGCTTCCATCCCCATGATTTCTCAAACTTGAAAAGAGAAAGTTATCTTTGACTTCTTTTCCCACAGCTCTCATATTCAGTTACCAAGTTTTGTGGAACTTGTTCCTTCCTTTCCCCTCCTGTTGTCATGACTCTACCTTAGGCACTTTTTACCTACTGTCTAACCGCTGAAGAAGCTTTTGACCTCCTTCATCCCTAGTCCATCTTTCAACAGGCTGACTGATTTATCTTTCTAAAATACAACTCTAAGCATCTTTCTCTCCTACTCAAAAGCTTTCAAAAGCTCCTCACAGTTAGAATAAAGTTAAAATTCTTTAAATTGGATTAATGATCTTTCAAGATTCTATTCTTCTTTGACTTATTTCTCCAATCTTTAATCTCACTTCACTTTTTCATTCATCAAATATGCTACCTATGTTCACTACATATTATGCTTTCTCATCTCTAGGACTTTGCTCATGCTCCTCCTTCTGCCAGGGATGCTTCCAAAATTGAAATGAAGGTAGTTTTGTTTGTAAAATCCAAACTAAAGTCTGGGTTCAGACCCTGGCAGAGAAGATTAATGACTAGGTCAGCTGAGGCAAGTACAGCCAAGCAATTCTAAAGGCTTCTTACCCACACTATTATCATGTAGCCCCTTCTCTACCTCTTGTTATTATTGTTGTTGGTGTCATCAGGTCGCTTCCACCCTAACAGTGACTCCATATGACAGAGGAGAACTACCCCATTGGGTTTTCCTAGCTGTAGTCTTTACCAAAGCAAATGACACTTTACCAAATGTTTTACCAAAGCTTGCTCAGTGTGGTTGAACTATCAATCTTTCAGTTAGCTGCTAAAAGCTTAATAGGAGGCATTCCTCTATGTTCAGGAAAAATACCTTCAACATACAATAGAGAAAATTCAGGACAAGGCACTTCTCTGACACATAGGAAGTCTGGGTTATAAAACAGGCTATATTTCATTTTCCTGAGTTTCACAGAGGAATTGAAAGTCTGCAGGTCTTTGACTAGATGTTCCTACTGAAAACAGGCCTTTTTAAATTTAGTATCTTTTAGGCAGTGAAGAATGGGGCAACTGTATATTCCAATGAAATGCAGAAGTAAGTTATGTTACATAATATGATGTTCTACAAATAATGTTTTAAAAAAGACATACATAGTGGTTTAGGCATACACTCTCTGGAAGTATACATAAGAAACTGGCAATGGTGTTTATTTCCAAGGAGGGGGATTGCATGGCTCAGGAATATAGTTATCACTGTACATTCTTTTGCCTCTTCTGAATTTAGTTAACAAGTGCATATCCTACCTATTTTTAAAATTAATTTTTAAACTATATTAGATTAAATACTAACTTCATTCCGCACTTATCAATCAATGTTATATTAATGCTTAAAAAAAAACCAAGTGGCTTCCTGCTTGTCAGTCAACACTCTTATTAAAAAAAAAAAAAAACTCACTGCCATATTAAAAAAGGAAGTCAAGAACCCCATACCATCCTCAGCAAGCCAAACACTTTCACCTAAGCAGTCATCAAGTGATTTTTGTGACCTAGCACAAAGTCTAGCTGCAGCTTCCAGTTTTTTGTAGAATAGCTAGTTGTTTTCTTGTTGTTGTTATGTGCCATCGAGTCGGACCTGACTCATAGCCTCCTTGGGTTTCCGAGGCAGTATCACTACAAAAGTAGATTGCTCAACCTTCCTTCTGAGGAGTGGCTGGTGGGTTTGAACCGCTAGCCTTCCAGTTAGCAGTCAATTGCCTTAGGCACTATGCTACCCAAGCTCCCAGTTGTTTTCTTGGTGATTTTTTTTTTTAAAGAACATCTAGTTTTGAAGCAACACTTCCACATCGATACCATTCTCACAGGACCCTATGGGACCACATCACTTACTCAAAGAAACCCAGAATCAAATTAGCTGAATATGTAGCAAATGAATAATTTTTTGTGTGTGAAGAAAGCAGGACTAATTGGATGATTTCTTAAGGTTCTTTCCATATTAAAAGTTATGATCTTATTTCATTTAAATCAATAGCTATATAAACAAACTTAAAAGAAGAAAAAATTGCTTTTACTTACTGAGGCCAAACTCTGTGCAGAACCTGAGTGTTTACTGAAAAGTCCTCCGTTGGCAAAGTTACAAGACTGAGCTCCTTTGTCTTTGGCAGAACTCAATGACAATGTCAAATTCTGTCTACTGCTGGAACAACTTGAACCTATCAAACAAAAACATTAATATTAAAAGTAACAATAATTGCAGTGATAAACTTCAAGTCAAATTTCAAAGTTTATATTATACTCAGTCTAAAAGCTTCTGATTTTAGAACACATGTCACTGAATTGAGTAAATGACTAAATGTGCACCATTATTAAAATCTAAACCTCTGCATAATGTTTTTAACACTGCAAAAAATGTCCTTCCGAAATTAGAAGACAATACTAACATAATTAATCAGAGGAATATTTGAATGGTCTATTGCAGTGAGTAAAAAAATACAACTATGAAACCTCCAATTATAAATTTAACAAAATTTAAGAACCTCTTTCTTGAATTGCATTTAAACCTCATCCATACTGTATTATATTACAATGAGTTTTCTATACTTCTTTCTCCTACATCCATCTATTCATTGTTCTAGGGCAGATATCATATCACATCTTAGTCCATCTTAATACTTTAAGACACTTCTGAATTCAAATGTACTTATAAGTTATATAACCCTAGGAAGACACTTAACTTTTCCATATCTCAATTTCTCTCATCTATACAATAGTGATTAGAGTCCTAAATCATAAGATTGCTATAAAGGTTAAATAAAGCACCAAATATATAGTATTCAGCACTGCACCTGACAATGAATAAAACCTCAGTAAGTGAGAGCCATTATTCTTGTAATGTTGGCACAAAACAGTCATTCATTAAATATTTGCTTAGCAAAGGAATCATAAAAGTATGTTGTTGTTGTTGTTATATGCCATCGAGTCGGCCCCGACTCATAGCGACCCCTCCTTGGGTTTCCGAAACAGTATCACTACAGAAGTAGGATAGCCCAACCTTCCTTCCAAGGAGTGGCTGGTGAGTTTGAACTGCCAGCCTTCTGATTAGCAGTCAAGTGCCTTAGGCACTATGATATCAGAGCTTTTCATAAAAGTTGTGATATATTAAATTTAAAAAATAAAGAAATATAGCATGCTCAAGAAATTATTTTTATTGATACAGTCTGGCAGTGAAGAATGGGGCAACTGTATATTCCAACGAAATGCAGAAGTAAGGTATGTTACATAATAGGATGTTCTACAAATAATGTTTTAAAAAAGACATACATAGTGGCAATATGTACCATATCCTTAACAAAAATTACAGATCCTTTAAAGGCCACAAATACATACAAAGATGTATACAAAGCAAGAAAACCCAAACATTCTAAAAGGAACAATAAGGACTATCTAAGTTATTGTGTATTTGTATAAACTTAAAACTAGGTACTCATTAAAAATGACACCACAGAGATACATCAATCAATCTGTAAAGACATCCTTATATATTGTTAAGTAATTATATACTGTTAAGTAATTCAGCCACTCCTCAGAAGGAAGATTGGGCAATCTGCTTCCGTAGGGATACTGCCTCGGAAACCCAAGGAGGGGTCGCTATGAGTCGGGTCCAACTTGATGGCAAATAACAACAACAACAACAACAAGTAATTCAGATGTAGGTAACAAAAGGAATTATCACAATATATTTTTTAAATATATAAATCATTTACTTATATATAATTTCAATGTGGAAGCTCTGGTGGCATAGTACCTAATGCATTTGACTGCTAACCAGAAGGCTGGAGGTTCAAACCCACCAGCCACTCCTTAGAAGGAAGATTGGGCAATCTACTTCTGTAGTGATACTGCCTCAGAAACCCAAGGAGGGGTCGCTATGAGTTGGATCCGACTCAATGGCAGTGAGTTAAGTTGTTGAGCTGAATCTCAATGTGATACTTAAATGCAAATATAAATGAAAAGATACATGCCAAATTATTATAGTAGTTATTTCTGAGTAACAGAATTTCAAGTGATTTTAATTTTTCTCTTTATCTATATTTTCCAAAATGAATATGTGTTATTTATGAGTTAAATATTAAGGAAGGAATTTTAGAGACTAAAATACTGAAATCACTATACTCTAGTTATGATTTACACATAAAATTTTCTTTGTAGACTTAATTCACCTATTTCCACATACCTTTGTCTGATGCTGCTCGTTTAGTATATTCAAGTATGAGGTGCTCTGGTTCCCAAGGTAATGTTTTTCCTTTTTTCTTTCCACGTTTTCTTTTAAAGTGATGGGCCAGAAAAATTACAGATATAGCACTCACTGCAGTTACCACAAACAACTTTTTAATCCCTGGTGAAAATTTGATCTGGAAAAGATACAGTTAGATTGAAAAAAAAAAAAAAATCATTTTTTAACTTAAAATAATGACTTGGGAACTAAAATTATTCTTAAGCAAATCTATTTCTAAATACTACACTACCAAGAGAACAATTTCACACTTTCAGTGACAGCTAGACCAATTTTATTTTCAAGAATAAATAAAAATGTTATCATTATCACACTGCCCTGAAGTCTTCAAGTAAATAATATTACCCAAAAAGTGAAAAAATATTTAATCCCATTAATATTACTTGAGTAACTAATGATATAATTCATGCTACTTAATCTTCTGGCTGTATCATAGCAAGATTTTGAATTACAGGAATGAATAAATCAGACTTTTAAACTAAACAAAAAATTTTTTTTAATTATCTGAAAATTTAGGCAAACAGAAATTAACTGAGTTTTTAATAGTGTCTGTTATGAATAGAACTGGGCCCCTAAAAAGTTACAATGGAGTCCTAACTCCTATACCTGTAAATATGACCCTGTTTGAAAATAGGGCTTTTCTTTTGTTATGTTAACTAGGTTATAACAAAGCAGAATGGAACCTAAATGTAATCACTTCTGAATGGTGTCTTATAAAAAAAACAGAATAGATACATTCTATTCTGTAAATATAATAATACAAGTATGTACTAAGTACTAACATAAGAGCAAGAGACACATATCTATGGGGAAAACAAATGTATGTGAGGACTGTCTCCAAGCAAAGGAACATCAAAGATTGCCAGCAGTCACCAGAAACTAGAAGAGAAGGCCACATCAGGAATCAACACTGCCAAGTTGTGACAAAATAAATTTCTATTCCTTGCAGCCACCTATTTGTGGTATCTTTTGTGACAACCCTAACCAAACCAAAACCAAACTTACTGCCATCGAGTCAATTCCAACTCACAGCAACCCCCTTTGGGTTTCTCAGGAAGTAAGTCTTTACAGAAGCAGGTTGCCCAGTCTTCCTTGCATGGAGTGGCTGGTGGGTTTGAACTGCCAACTTTCTGGTTAGCAGTCAGATGCCTTAGGCACTACACCAGCAGAGTTCCTTGTGACAACACTGGGCAACTAAATAAGATACTGCTTAAGTAAGACACTTTATTCATGAATTATTCAATAAATATTTACTCAGCATTTTACAGTGTTCTAGGACTGTGCTAAGATTTAAAGGCTTGTTGCGATTCCATTCAACAAGCATATATAAGTACCTATCATTTATCGGGGAGCCCTGGTAGCATACTGCCTAAGGCATTTGACTGCTAACCAGAAGGCTGGCAGTTCAAACTCACCAGCCACTCCTCGGAAAGAAGGTTGGGCAATCCTACTTCTGTAGTGACACTGTCTCGGAAACCCAAGGAGGGGTCACTGTGAGTCAGGGCCGACTTGACAGCAGTGTGTTTGGTTTTGGTTTATCATTGATCAGAAAGCATTAGAGATACAAGAGGACACAAGGTTAAGATAATTAGTAATAGAAACAAACATACTGGCAAATAATTACAGTATACAGATATTCCCTGACTTACAACAGGGTTCCATTCAATGACTCTGTTATAAGTCAGTTCTGACATAAATCAATCATTTTTTTTTTTTTTTCATTATTAATGCTTTTTATTACCAGTATTTTTATAAATCCTATCTTTGTCTCTGGGGGTTGGCAGGAGAATGATAACAGCAGCAAATTACATGCTGTAACACTATAGGTGATATATATTACTAATGATAAGAGGTACCAAACAAACTAAAGTAGACAGTTCTAAGTACACTGCATCATAACTGGAATATGTCATAAGTCAGGGACTACTTGTATTGTGATAAATACAATATACAAGTATGTGCAAAGTACTAACATCAGAGCAAGAGGTAATTAACTTTGTCTTGAGGGATAGAAACTATTAATCACCTAAAATGCAAAGAAATTCTAAAATAAAGCTATAGATTTTGGGATGTGGAGAACTACAAACAGTATCACCTCCCACCTTAGGGGAGGAAAAAAAAAGGCAGACAAACAGCAAGTTCTAAACTTTCTTAAACCCATAAGAATGCTGAAGTCAGACACTAACCAAATGGCTCCCAAACTAATGGGACAGTTATTTGTAGGGAGAGATAAAACACAAGCACTACATGTCAGTAAGAAGAGTTCAGCTAGCATGACTGGCAAATTGGTAGAGAATAAATGTACACTGGTAAGAGAGGGTGAAGCCCGAGGGGCCACAATTTATATGGATGTTTCACACCTTCCTGCAGATTTTATCTTCACATATCCCATCAGGCACTCACAGAAAAGACTGGGAAGTCCTAAAAGTTCTCTCCCTCAAGATGCAGAACTAAGGAAGGGAGACAGCAGCCTATGTGTACCAGTATCAAAAGTGTACTTCTCTATCCTCTGTGTGGAACAAAAGCTTTAAACTATGAGATGCAGCTTTAACTTCAGATGGAAATTTATACCATTATACGCTTATGTTAGAAAAGAAAAATGTATCAAAGCAGTAATCTAAGCTTCCATTTTAAGAAAGAAGAGCAGATTCAAACAAAGATGAGACAGGCCAAGATAGCAGCTTAGTCAGACACACTATGCCATCCCCCTTCAGCAAAGATCCAAAAAAACAAGTGAAACCTGCAGAAAGACAATCCTGGAACCCTGAACAGCTAATGGAAGGAGAATTGTATCAAACACTGAAGAGAAGCAGAAACTGAATGAAAACAGTGAACAAGGAGATTTATGGATCACAGGCACCCTGCCAGCTGGCATGGCACAGCATGACCATATTGAGACAAAGCAAGCAGCATTCCAGGTGAGGAGTACAGGAAGGCAACTTCATGGAATTCCTACAAGAAGACAGATACTGTGAGACAAACCTGGAGCAAAGCAAGATGAGCAGAACATGAATCAGGTCTAAGGAGGGAAACTGCAGGAAGGTGCACAAAGAGCTCTAGGGATCCAGGTGACTACTGAACAGGAAAAAAAAAAAAACAACTCACTGCCATCAAGTCAGTCCTGAGTCATAGCGACCCCTACTTGGGTTTCCGAGGCACTATCTCTACGGAAGTAGATTGCCCAGCCTTCCTTCCAAGGAGTGGCTGGTGGGTTTGAATGGCCAGCCTTCTGGTTAGCAGTCAAATGCTTTAGGCACTATGCTACCAGATCTCCCATAACAGGGAAGAAAGGAGAACACAGGGACAGAACTACTCACCAGCAGCAGTTCCTGATCGTTTGGACAGGTGGCACCGAAAGAATGGAGGACCCATAAGATGGCAGCTGAAGATCCCCCACATGATTGGACTCCGATAGCATCCCCCTCCTCACATATGCTCAGGGACAGGTCCTGATCCCTGGCTGCCCTCTACAAGGAGTGCCCATGCTGGTGACTGAGGTAGCATGCTTTCCCCCTTGCCTTTTTGGTGATGAGCAGGGCAAGCCTGAGCAGTGAGAGCTCCTATGCCACCTGCCTGGCAACCGGTGACCTATGTACCCTCACTTCAACCACCCAGCAACCAGCAGTGCACACCCAAAGTGCTTAGAACCTGGCAACCAGAGAGGATGCTCCCTGCACCCATGCCCACTGACCAGCCTGACAGAAACACCACCTCATCAGCAATGCCAGTTATTCCCAACAGGCTTCACCTTTTCCTCTCACAAACAACAAATCAGAGATCCTAGCACCTTCATCCACCATCTGCCTCGCTGCAATGTCACACATTCCACACTCAAACATCTCCTGCAGACAAACCTAAACATGCACTGAAACCCCCTGAGCCCCTACCACCTACTGAGAATCCAATTTGTGTGTGCAGAGAGGGCCTAACCCATCTCTTTGAGTAGCACTCCCTCACAGTTCCTACAGAGACATCCTGCTCTGCCCTCCAGAGGATGCAATACTAGCACCAATCTGGCAAAATCTCACAGTCCCACAGGAGCTGTGGAGATCCTGGCCACCCAACACTTATCATCCACTATCAGAGAAAGAACCTGCTTTCCCACCTCCACTCAATTCTGTAAAGGAAGACAGACAAGCCTAACCACAGAAGGCTTACACATAAATGTGACCCACCACATTCACTAACGAGAGGGTCTCACATGCACTTAACCAACACCACCAAAGTCACACACAGACCAGCACCACAAAGCAACAACAATTAAAATAATACAAAGGAAGAAAGAGTTCTAAAGAGAAAAAAGAAACAAAGCTCCTGATAAAACAAAACAAAAACCAGCATAAACAAACAAACATATAATCAATCAATAAATTAACACTTTAATGCCTCAGAGACAGCAGACAGTAACATATCACATGAAAAACACAGGATAAGATGGAAATTTCTCAACATAATTAAGGGCATATATGCAAAACCACCACCAACATTATTCTCAGTGAAGAAAGACTGAGACATTTCCTTTGAGAACAGGAACAAGACAAGATGCCCATTATCACTCTTCCTGTACTGAAAATCTGAGGCAGAGCAATAAAGCCAAAAAGAGAAATAAAGGCATCCAAATTGGGAAGGAAGAAGAAAAACTATCTTTATTCACAACTGAGATGAACTTGTACATAGAAAATCCCTGAGACTCCACAACAAAGTTATGGGAACTAGTAGAGAGATTCAGTAAAATGGCAGGGTTTAAGATCAACACACAAAAACCAATTGGGTTCCTCTACACTAATAAGAACTCCAAAAAGGAAATCAAGGAAACACTACCATTAACAATAGCTCTCAAAAGGATAATGCTTACAAAAAAAAAAAAAAAAAAAAAACCTACTTCAAGAAAACAAAACAAAACAAAAAGACCTATATATGGAAAAACATTCCACACTCATGGATTGGAAGACTTAAGATTGTGAAAAAATCCATACTACCCAAATGATCATAGATATAATGCAATCCAAATCCAAATCTCAAAAACATTCTTTAATAAAATGGAAAAACTAATCTCAAATTCATATAGAAAGGAAATAGACCCAGAATAGCTAAAGCCATAGTGAAGAACAATAAAGT